GCGGCCCTTGTAATGCGGGTAAGCATGTCACAGGGGTCACGCGGGTCACGCGGCACGGCCGCCCTGACGGGGACTCTGTGGCTGCTGAAAGCTCACACCTCTCCGTATTCTCTCCCTCTGTTGTCTCACAGCCCGGAGGGGCCGGGCTCAGGGTTGCACACGCACAGGCACACGCGGCAGCTCTTACTGAGGATGCGCTCTGCCCACTCCCGGCTCAGCGCAGAGGTGCCCTGCCCCTCTCTCGCTTCGCTTCCTTTAGTCTCCCAGTAATCCTCTCTCTCCTGTCTTGGTATTTCTTTTCCTAACTGGAAAATCCACGGCGAAACGGTGGCGCCAGGGGCTATGTGGAGGAATTCCAGTGGTTCTGCCCTGGCGGGGCGGCCTGCGCCGCGACGCCGCTCTGTACATCTCACTATGGAAAGGGAAGCCTGACTGTCCAGTAGCATCTTTGTGACAAGAGGCTGAAACTGCTTCTGAGGAGCTACACAGCCTCTTCAGGCCACCACCACCTGCTTATCCTGAGCAGTGCTGATAGTGATCAGTTTCTCCTCCCAGGAAAACTGAGCTAACGGTGGCCAGTAACCACGCGGCTGGCACTGTACTGCGGCCCAGGTCCCTGTCGGTGTAGGCCACAGTCCACGTCTGCAGGCTGAAGATGGCTGAAGACAGACTGAAGCGCTGTCTTCCCGCAGCTGCCGTGCAGCCTCTGCAGGCCTCTTGACATGGCATATGGGGTTGAGTTCTGAGCTGCGCCATCGGCTCTGGATCTGCTGGCCGGAGGCGCGCTCAGATTCTGGGCTTGGTCTGCATGACCTCTATTAGCTGCTGGACCTCAGACGAGTGACCGTCTGTCAGCCACCATCTCTTCACTTGCAGAGGCAGGACCTGCGCCGGGAGCTGCGAGGCACACGAGAGGATGGGATGGACATCTTCATCCATACCGGGAGGGAACTCAAGAAGGGTGTTCAGCAGGGGAAGGCGGCAGGCATGCGGGACCAGAGGTCAAGTTAGAGACAAGAGACATGAAACTCAGCAGCAGACAAGCCAGGCATGATGGGGCTCGCCTGCAGTCCCAGACACTTGGGAGGCTGAGGTAGGAGGATCCCGGGGTTTAGGGCTGGCCTGGGCAACAGAGTGAAGTTGTGTTTCAAAAAGGAACGTGTTGACAGGAAGGGGAAGGCGGAGGACACAGCGGCTGGGGCTGGAGGTAAGGGAGCCCCACAGAGCCCGGCGCCAGCGGCTCACACTTTCTCATTAAAGAGGCAGCAGAAACGCCAGGTTCAGAGCATCCTGAGATTTATTCCAGCCTCTCCCCCTCAGAGCCAGCGTCAGCGCTTCCTTGGGTGTGGGAATTCCGACAGCCGAGGGACGGGCACTCACCACGGCCCAGGGCTAGGGTGACTCCCCCGCCACCAGGGCCACCAGCGCAGCCTGCACCTCCTGCGTCTGAGCCGGGGGCAGCAGGCAGTCCTGAATGAGGGCCACGGCCGCCGTCTCCGTCAGGCTGCCGAAGTCCTGGGAGGTTTTGACAGGGAGGTGCCCGGCCAGCTCACAGAGGGCCACGTTGAAGGCCTCACCCTCCTTCACCCCAAAGCTGGGCTTCCGGGCCCACAGAATGACGCGGAGCCCCGAGAGCGCAGAGGAGGGCACCGCCTCTCCCGGTGGAGCCCCGCGCGTCACAAACACGTTGTGTGCAATCTCGTGCTCGCTCAGGTAGTCGGTGGCCCGGCACACCCTGCTGACCACGGCTTCCACGTCCAGCCCTGGCCTGCCCACGTAGAAGAGGAAGCCCGGCGCGGGGAGTGTCCGGAGCAGGTGCAGCCGGCCTTTGGGATCCAGGGGGACGCTTGGAGCCCACTCCACGGGCAGCCTGTGGTCCAGGTAGTAGCCATGCAGGTGGAGGTGGTTCACGGAAGCCAGCCCCCCCAGGCTGTTGAAGCCCACGCGGAAGCCGGGGTGCAGACTCAGCAGCACAGCCTCCAGCCCGGCCCGCAGCGCCCCGGGCAGCAGGCGCTGCGGGAGACCGAGGGCAGGCTCGGGCACCAGCAGCACGTGTCCACGCTCCAGGGGACTCACATTGATCACCACCAGGATGTCACTGTCCCCATCCCGGGGATCACGGGGATCGGGGCGCAGACGGAAAAGAACCTCTCCCCTCGGGATCTTCCTGAAGTTGAACTGCTGGGGGTCAAAGGCCTGCCTCACACTCCTGACGTCCTGGGGTCGCCGCCTCTGTACCCCGCGCTCCACGTTCAGCTGAGCCACAAGACCCACGGTGCCCGGCAGGATCTGCGTCCGCAGCTCGCCCAGGCGATAGCGGAAGAGCCCCAGCTCCACCCGCTGTGCCCAGGCCGCGCACAGGGCAGCATCAAAGCGGGACTGCAGCTGTGTGTCCAGGGCACTGGGGACCTGTGGCCACTGAACCCCCTCCACCACCAGTTCCTCCTGCCCATAGGTGAAGTCAGGGACCACTTGCCCGTCCCAGTCCGAGGTGTTGGGAGACAGTAGGTAGGAAGTTTCATTTAGATCACCGGGAGTCGCCATGGGCTGGCCTGAAAAGATCACAGACACGAAAAATAGGAGAGCAGCCCACCGCTGGAGGCTCACACCCGTCACCCCAGCCACTCCAGGCCGAGAGCTGAGGCTCACACCCGTCACCCTAGCTATTCGAGACTGAGATCTGAGGCTCACAGTTCAAAGCTGGTATGGGCAGGAAAGCCCTGAAACTCATCTCCAACTAACCAGCAAAAAGCCAGAAGTAGAGGTGGGCAGGAAAGCCCTGAAACTCATCTCCAACTAACCAGCAAAAAGCCAGAAGTAGAGGTGTGACTCAACTAGCAGAGCACCAGCCTTGAGAGAAAAAAGCCAGGCAAGAGCTCAAGGCCCTGAGTTTAGTTTAAGCCCCAGCACCGGCTTGAGCCATGTTTTAGGGGACGTCAGAAAGCGGGATGCCCCCTTTGGGGCTCACTAGAAGATCATCTGTTACTCATGATACAGAGCAGCACACGGGATTCCAAAAGCCTTCCTAAAAACCAATACAAAAGAAAAAGAAACCTAATAATCCCCAAACCCAACGTTTTTCAAGAAAATGTTTTCGAAACAGTGACTTTTACAGAAGTTATGAACTGGTTCAAAAGAAAAAAAAAGACATATAAGATAGACAACTTACATTCCAGTAATGATTTAACAATGTACAAAGGCCATTCAATTAAAAAAAACTATATCTGAAATATAAATACTTGTGTGTGTGTGTGCTTGTGTGTACCTTTTACCCCAAACTCCACTCTTCACCTATGTGTCCTGCTTCTTTGTTTGTAAAAACCTTAAGGGCGCAGTGATTCGAATTTTCTTGGCTTCAATGACGTGTTGGAGGCCAGCGCGTCCTGGGGTGAGGACTGCGTAGCATCGGAAGGCCGAAACAGCACTCGACCACGGTGATTGAACACATAAAAAGACGGGTGGTTTCTCAAGGTGTCAAATGTCTTCTTCTTCAGCTCTGAAGTGGCATCCATGTCTTTAAACTCCCCTGCAATGTGAACTATGCCGTAACAGGTAACTGCAAAGGCCAGAAGCGTCTGAAAAACGGTGTCTGTCGGCAGGGACTCGTCTTCCTTTTCTGTGAGGCGCGTGTAGGAACGGTGCTGTGCGGCGGAGAAGGCAGCATGGGCCAGGACGAAGAGGCCCAGGCCCACCAGTCCCTTCCACAGTGCGGGCGCCATGCCGGGGAAGGAGCGGCCCCCGCACCCTGCACCCCGCACCGAGAAGGTGGCACGGCTCTTCCCTCTTCCACCCGTGGACGTTTCTCGCAAGCTGCTGCTAATAATTCCTGAGACGGATTCTTGAGTCCGGTGTGGTAGCAGGTGCCTGTAACCACAGCACTCAGGAGGCAGAGGACGATCGGGAGTTTAAGGCCAGCCTGGGCTACATAGGGGGAAAGAAAAAAAGCTGCTTTTTCTACCTAACACTTTTCTACGTGATGGGACTCACACGCTGATAAAGATTTTGTGTATGTATATATGTGTGTGTGTGCTGCTACTGGGGCTTGAACTCAAGGCCTGGATGCTGTCCCTGTTTTTTTTTCACTCAAGGCTAGCATTCTACCCTTTGAGCCATAGCTCTATTTCTGGCTTTGTGCCAGTTAATTGGAGGTAAGAATTTCATGGACTTTCCTGCCTGGGCTGGTTTCAAACTGTAACCCTCCGATCTCAGCCTCCTGAGTAGCTAGGATGACAGTCTTGGTTTGTATGGTTTCACTCATGCGTTTCTCTTGGTGGAAAGTCCTCCCCAGCCCTCTGCCCCGCTAGGCCATCCTTCGGCGACCTCCCTGAGCCCCGCAAGCCGTAGGAAGATCTCTATGGTTACTTCACAGTACGAAATGTCCCTGTGGTTACAGCTAATACAGTCTTAATGGAGTAACGCTCAGATGTCCACCTTCTGATGGTGGCTGGGTAAGCTACAGGCTACAGTCACTCAGTAAATAAGTTAACAACTGTGTCCCTCAGGGACCTGAAGTTCTGGTTCTGAGGGACCAGGTCCTGGCCCATGGTTCTCAGGGACTAGACAGCGAAGAAATGTTCACCCCATCATAAACTCCAGTGACCCTCAGTGGCACACTGAGAGTGTCTCTGGGAAAAGCACTGGCAACCGTGTAAAGCAGACATGACAGATTTCTGACGTCAGGGAGTCGGGGAAGACTTCCTGGAGGAGGCCTACCATGACAGAGAGGCCTTGGGCTCTTATCTCCTACGGATTTTAAACTACGACTTACCTGCCCAGGTGTAGATGGCAAAGGCTCGTGTAGAGGCTCGTGTGGCTGGCGGGAGGCCTTCCGACCTCTCTGTCCGAGGAAACAGAGGCACGGATGAGGTGGAAGGGTGCGGTAGGAGGGCGCGGGGGTCTCACCTCCTCCGGACAGCAGGTCAGCCCGCTCGGGTTTGCACTTGGTCAACGGCTACTGAGAGCCTACTATGCGCCGCACCGTCCTGGGGTTGAGAGGAGACAAAGTAAAGGGTAGCGCGGGGTCCCCGGGCGGGGAGGAGGCGCTCAGGGCTCGGGGCCCGGGGGGGGGAGGGGC